AAGAAAACATTGTTTAATTTATATTAATATGTATCACTTAAAAAATTTTAATGAAGATATTTATCTTAATTATGAAAATATACTAGCATGTTTTTTAATTTTTGGAACCTAACCCTCCTTTTCGTATTAGTTCTTTGTTTCGTATAACACGGATTCGCATAACACGGCAATTTTTTGGAACGTAACTACCGTGTTATACAGGGGTTACCTGTACATGTTTTGTATCGTTTGAGTCTACATACTTTGGCTGCGAGTTTCTGTTTTAGTGTATCGATGTGTGTTGTGTTCATGTTTTGTGTGTGTTTTGATTTTCTTGAAAATGTTTTTCAGTTGTTTCTTTAATTTGGGTGTTATGTTGTTTTTAGTGTATTGTATCAGCCTGCCTAATTGGTGTCTAATGTCATTTATTTGTGCTTCTATTCTTCTCTGCCAGGCAGGCTTGTGATAGAATTGTATTTTGTGTGTATCTGTCTGTGATTGTATTTTCAGTTCATGGTGTGTTACTACTGTGACTGCCCCAGCATAAACTAATGTATGAATGTCTGAGAGTGTAGAAATTAAATGGATGTAGTGTGGTAGTAAGTGAGTGTTTACATAATTGTGTTTTTCCTACTACCTTTGACGTGTTCGGTATTTTCGGTATTCGTGGTCTTTGTGTGGGATCTGTGCCTGTATATTTAGTGAGTGTTTCCTGCAATATAAGTGAGAGTGTATTAACTAAATCTATATCTATGTTATCAGTGATGGAAGAGAAAGTGTCTGTAGTATCATTAATGGTAGTTGTTGTATGTGTACTATTAATGCTTGTTGCTGGATTATGTTGACAGGTTACGTGATCTTCATTAATAATGTTAAATGTTTCTGTCTGTTGATGTATTTGATCAGCAACCTGTTGTTTGATAAGTTCAAGTGTTGTTTGTGGGATAACGTTGTTGTGTATAATTGTTCTATTTTGATCAACAACCCTTTGTTCGGTGACAGTGAGGTGAGGATATTGTTGTGTGAATCTATGGTGTAGTTGTTGTCTGTATGCTGTCATGTTTGTTTCGAGTCTTGTGATGGTGTAGTAAGTACGGATGATAAACTCGTTCATTTCTGTTGTCCATTTCATCCGTTGGCGTGGTTTTCCAGCCTTTGTGGTCTGTGGATGCATTGCCACAGAAACACCAAGGCTAGGTTGATTCCTCACATCTGTTGAGGGCATTGCAGTAGCCATGCTTGGGCCGGCGCTGCTTTTGCCACCGGTAACCAAGGGAGACTGGAGCCTATCGAACATGAGCCTCTGCCTAACCCGCGAACGTGGACCTTGTTAACCCAGGCGACGTTCGAGCCGGTATCACACTTTGATCTGGTTACTACCATAATAATTATTTCCACAGAATGTGGATGTGGTCACTCTTAGCTTCATTTCTCCCCATAGACCTTACTGGCCTAGGTGTCCCTACCAGGAGCGTGTGCTCCAGCCTGCATTGCTCTATGGTTCAGTAAAATTACTGGGCTCTCCCACCACGACCAGGTGGTGACTACGGGAGAGTTATTATTATTACACTAGTAGTTCCCTCCATGCTCGGGAATAATTGGGATTGAGTAATCCTTCATAAACATCAAATTCTCAAACTTTGAGTTCCATTTTTAATGTTAAATTTGTAATTTGTTTCAAGACTATGTGTTACTGCCTTTTTAAAAAAATTTTCAGAAAAAAATATGGTTTTATTACATAAATATACTGTGCAATGGCTTATACTACTGCAAAAGTCATTTTATTTAAGCCAAAAGAAAAAAGATAGTAACATATGACAAACATTGTATGTATGTGTCAGTGCAGTGAATTTTTTAGCATTGCACCTGCTCAAACATCCAGTTTGCGCAGGCACCAATTCCAGTTTACAGTAGTATATACAGGTAACCCCCATATAACACGGGAGTTACGTTCCAAAAAATTGCCGTGTTATGCAAATCTATGTTATACGAAACAAACAAAGAACTAGTGCGAAAAGAGAGGTTAGGTTCCAAAAATTAAAAAAACATGTTGTTAAATCCTTATTTAAATCAGATTTATTATTCATTTTTTTCATAGGTAAAATACGTACTTATTATTTAAGTAAATATTTTACCAGAGGATTATTCATTTTATATGATGATCTCAGCATGAGCATCATCAACTGGTAACAGTTTGTGGGTGCTTTTGTTAATAGCGGTCGCTGTGCAACAGGAGTACGCTGCTGTTTGTAGGCATTTTAGGAACGACGGCAAAAGAAAGATGGCGGCACCTGCACTATCGATAGTATTGTGTGGAGGAATCTATAATTCTAAAATGAGCTTATAGAGGCAAAAGAAGGTCCCAATTGTATAATTTAACCATTAAATGGATTATTTATTGAAAGAGCATTCAAATTAGCCATGAAAACAATTAGAATGCTCGTGCGGAGTTACGTGGAGGTATAAAAGAATGCACCCTTTATTACATTTTATGTTGTATGAGGGTTTTACCCAATTCCCGAACCATGTTAGAGTGAACCCGTGCTATAGAAGTGTCATGTTATACGGGGGTTACCTGTATTTTTCCCATTTCTCAAAAGGTTGAAATCTTTCATGAACATTGAAATTTTGGTGCATAAATTTCTGATCACGAATGATTGAATTCCCAAACACTTACATCCATGAACATTGAGGATGTACTGTGTTGTTATTACTAATAATAATAATATTTTCCAGTAGATAACTACAATTTTTGTATTTATGCATTGTATAAGGTTTTAATGCCCAAAATTTTAATTAGTGATGATGGTAGGATTTATTTCAGGGGGTGCATCAGTGCATAATGGAACAATTACTTGAAAGAATTAATTACTGCTATGTTAGTTACAAAAAAAAATTAAGAAAACTTTGCAATTCTTATTATATCCTATTTATTTATTTTTTCCTACATTTTTTGTTTATGCTAAGGAGTGTAAGTGTACATCTTTGGACTTCCTTACAGTGTCCTTGTATATGTTTTAAATGATTTATAATGAAGTTAGATTCTAATGAACAATGCTATTGTCATAACATTTTGGGATGGATGTAGTTTCTAAGGGATTCTAGGTAAAACATACGCAACTTTGTGGGATCAATTAGTTATGACTAGATATTCATTATAATTTACTGAAAACNAGTCTGTGTAACTGAAGCCCAACGAATACGACTACGACTACGTTATCAATAAATAAGGAAAGGTGTAAGCATTGGATTTGGTGGTGAAAATGGCGCTGGTGGTCCGTAGACAAGCGTGGATGTTGTATAAGTTTATACCAGCCATGAGGTCTGCATGAAAATCCTTTAATAATATAATGATATTTTTCCGGAAGCAATTTCTTTTACAATTTATTCACTGTTTTGATTACTGATATACTAATAATTAAAACCGTAAAGAATATATTTTTACGATGTTTTTTAATCTTGATTTTAAAGTTACGCATAAAGTATAAATAATTTGTTTACAAAGTCGCCACGTACATGATTTAAATTAGTTTTCAGATATTTTTAGCCAGTGATTTATATAAATAGAAAATTCAAATTATAAGAGAATAATGTACAGTACATATAAGTAAGTATAATTCTTAACAAGCAAGTGCACAAAAATATAATTTTATATTGAGATATGGAATTGATTATGATAATCTGGGTGTGTTTTTGTTAGGGGTTTTTGGTTATCAGTGCGAACGTTTGAAAGAGAAAAATGCATAAGTTTCCACCTTGAATGTTTTGTTTTGNACCCAATTCCCGAACCATGTTAGAGTGAACCCGTGCTATAGAAGTGTCATGTTATACGGGGGTTACCTGTATTTTTCCCATTTCTCAAAAGGTTGAAATCTTTCATGAACATTGAAATTTTGGTGCATAAATTTCTGATCACGAATGATTGAATTCCCAAACACTTACATCCATGAACATTGAGGATGTACTGTGTTGTTATTACTAATAATAATAATATTTTCCAGTAGATAACTACAATTTTTGTATTTATGCATTGTATAAGGTTTTAATGCCCAAAATTTTAATTAGTGATGATGGTAGGATTTATTTCAGGGGGTGCATCAGTGCATAATGGAACAATTACTTGAAAGAATTAATTACTGCTATGTTAGTTACAAAAAAAAATTAAGAAAACTTTGCAATTCTTATTATATCCTATTTATTTATTTTTTCCTACATTTTTTGTTTATGCTAAGGAGTGTAAGTGTACATCTTTGGACTTCCTTACAGTGTCCTTGTATATGTTTTAAATGATTTATAATGAAGTTAGATTCTAATGAACAATGCTATTGTCATAACATTTTGGAATGGATGTAGTTTCTAAGGGATTCTAGGTAAAACATACGCAACTTTGTGGGATCAATTAGTTATGACTAGATATTCATTATAATTTACTGAAAACCCAACATTCTTAATATAATATGAATTTATTAGTATTGTAACATTATAATATACACACACAGTAGAATCTTGTTTTAATGGATCTCTTAGAAGAATAGATTTCCCCCCAGGTTCTGCCAAATCAATGCAATTTTACTTCCTTTTAGCAGCTCTGTAACTTGGAATAACAAATTTTTTCTAGCTCCATCTATAGTAAACTTCACATTTCTTCAATGTTTAGTTAATATTTGGGTGTTTTGGGAATTTGTAGAGTTTGATGATGTACTTCTTAGATCTGGAATATGTACAATTGAAGAATTGTAAGTCAGCAGTTTGATATGATTGAGGTGGATTCTGACGCTGGTCTAAATGCAGTGCCAAAATTGAGCCTTTCCAAGTTGTGAAGACCTTCCTGGAAAATTTCAGCATAAAAAAAAAGCTGTACATGACATTGCTAATATCAAGCAGTTGTATTTAATAGGCAGAAAAGTGGCATCAAAACAAACCAAGATAAATTAATTTTTTTAACAATTGTGAAGTCATGTGAAGTGCTAATAAGCATATGTAATTTTCCTCTTTTTGTACTTACAATATATACAGTTTTTTTGTTTAGCTTTGTTTACACACAACATAATGTATGATCTTGTAACATATGTGTGTCTATAGAATAAAGAAGAGAGATTTCAAGAGACTGAATAATTTCAAGTACAAGCATTTCTTATATGTAGTGGGTTAAAAAATGGAAATTTTTCAAATAATGAGTGTGGAGGAAATTTCTAAGAATTTATTGTTCACAATATAACGGATTCTTGGAACAACAGATGATTTTTGGTGTCCCGAATGAGCCATTAAAATGAGATTCCATTGTATATAAATTTATCATAAAATTTTGTAATTAAATGAAAGTATCTTATAAACACAATATTGACAATTTTTCTCATCTCAATAAAACTACAAATGATTAAAATTTATTTCTTAAATTATTTATATTATCAGTATTAATATATTAAACTAATTTGATGAAACATCATATTGCCTGCTGAGAACATTAGTAATGTAAATCTGAAAATGCTGTTTTGAGATAATCGCCTTAAAGTTTTTGCTGAATTCCAATCTTTCAGTCCTATTCAACTATTTGAGTTACCCAAATGACGTTTCACTACTATAACATCAGCTTTGTCCTTGCTATAACTACTACTTGAAGATGTTATAGCAGGTTAGTTTTCTTATTTTTTAAGTTAGTATGTAATTTTTTAAATTTTAGTTTCTCATTAAAGCAGTAAAATTTGAATAAGAAGATTGTGATGAGACATTTTACTGTAAATTATTTTGAGTCTCATGGTACAAATAATTCAAATTGATAATTTCAGGGTTATATCACTAATATTCTCAAACAGGTGATGTAATACATATGATATGTGCAATTCATTTAAAAGTGCTTATCTTTACACACAGTTTTTTTTAGAATTTATCTATGAACACAGACAAACAGATTTAGTGTTTTAGGCTCTATAGAGTTGTAAACTTTTTTAAAACTGTCATTTAAATCTGATTCTAGAACATGCATTTATTATATAATACAGTATAATTAAAAGGTCTTAATACACTAAAATATTTAATATTTTCAGTCAAATACGTTGCTCAGGAGAATGGGGAAGTGGTTCTGGAAAGGTAAGAAATGTATAAATTAAACTTTTTGTTAATATATATATGTGTGTGTATATATTAGAATTATCCTGTGTGTGTGTGTGTATACATATACAGGATAATTCTAAATGATGATTGTGATTTCAGTGACTTATTATTTCAGTTTAATTGAATGCAGGTAAACACAATTTACACACACGAGAACTGAACAAGTTTTTTTCTTACCTACTAGAAATATTCAATGTGTGATCCACATGTAACACACCACACATCAAGCCTATAATCAAGTTCCTAACCTAATTCTTGGATTTGCACATACATAGATCACCTTGAAGGGCTACTCTTCTGTGTTTTCCATAAATTTAATAAGGTGCCTCATATCATTCAACCTGCACGATATGTTTATGCTGCTATCACTGCCCTCATTAGAAGAGCGTTCTTTATTACCATCACTGCAAGCACTTTTAAATTTTGAGTTAAACACTGTCAGTTTGGCAGTATGCACAGCTGGTTTTTCAAGTGCTAAGTTCATGCATGTGCATATTAGGGCAACATGGTTAGGGAATCTCTGTTTCCAAGCACAACACTAAGCAACAAGCAGGAGATGTCAATAGTTCAACCACAATTACTGTACTTTGGACACCTTTCCGTATGCATTTGCTGCATATTCAGGCAACATAACTTTTACCTGCTGCTGTCTCTCCTACCAAATTTGCACAGATTCATCTGCAATGATTGGGATAAATTCTCCACCTTTGAAAAATCAGGAATCTGCTGTGCCATTGCTGATTCCCATAACGGGGATGAATATGAAGAACATTTGGGGCCACAACACGAATGCTTGCAAAAAAGGTGCTCAAAGAGAACTACAACCCATTATGGGCTCAACCAATGCTACTCAGATGCTGCAGCGACTGGAAACTTGTGTTTAAATGGGAATCTCTCCTTACAACAAAGAGTAATGCATCACTCACACACTTGACCTGCCCAGCATGTCAGGTGACCTATATAAACAATTAAATAGTGATATACGTCTGCTATCACACCTTTAACATGGGTCTATATCCACACATATGTGACATGACGTCATAATGTCTAGCGTAATCGAACTTTGTAGCATGATCATAACAGTGTTTTAGTTTTTAATTTTAATTTTTAAATGTGTGTTCCACTTATATTAGAACATTGTATTCTATTTTTAACTTTTCATTTGCCTGACGATGATGAAAATAAGTTTGTTGAAAGCACTAGCAGAAAATAAAAGATGTTAATGCTGCACTCAGTGTGTCTTTACTTCCTCTTGTCAAAGATTTCATGTACAGTCAGTCAGTCAGTATTATTTATTAAAGTACAGCGTACATACTTGGTGTCGCGTTAAGCATGAACAAGGTAGAATACAGGATATATAAAGATATGTGACAAAGTAGTGACAATACAGTAGAGTGATGTAAAATATAATAATAATACGATACACAGAACAAACCTAAGTATTACAGAATACAGAATAAAAACAAATCAATACAAATGCAATACATAACAGAACAGTACAATACAGAAATAAAACATGACAAGACAATAAAAGGTACAAAGACATGTAAGTGATGTAAAACCGGAGTAGAAGTATATGCATAGACAGCAGTATGGCTGGGAGTAACATGTTACAAGATCAAGCCGTTACAAGTGACAATTTGCAGAATTTCTTCGCCAGTCTGGAGAAGGCGAGATAGATATCCTTGTTAGCAAGTAGGTCGGAGTGACGGCATGGCCAAGTGGTGCCAAGGCTCTGTGATAGGATTCTAATCTCCAGTCGCTCTGCTTCAAGAGTGGGACAGTCAAAAATGTAATGAGTCCCGCTGTCCTCAACTTGACAGAAAGGACAAAGACGTGAAGGATGGTTAGTGAAGCGGGAGAGATAAGCACTGAACTTTCCATGTCCAGTGAGAAACTGAGTAGTATGGTAGCTCGGCGCAAACCAGTCAAGCTTCATAAAGTCACTAATGTTTGGAATATAGTTATACGTAATGCAGGTGTTATTACTGTTCCAAATGCTTTGCCAAGTAGAGAGGGTGTCCCTCCAGAGGAGCTGGCGTAAGGTGTGCTTGCTGATCTTGTCGTAGATGATGGGGATGGTATTGTCCGTGGTGGCTGCTTTGGCAAGCTGGTCCGCACGCTCATTACCAGGAGTGCCCTGATGGGCACGAGTCCAGGTAATGGAGATGGTATTACTAGTGCTGTTGATGATGTTCCTGATCTCAGTGGCGAGAGTGTGTAGATTATTGCCCTTGATTAAGGTGTNAAGAAGTTGCATGGGTAGGTTGTTTTCCTGTAGATATTTTTTAACAGAAGGGCCAAACACCAGGTTTAATCACTCCACAAAGAATTTCCTGGTGACCCACGCCTTCGGATTTGACCTCCACATAACTTGCAGTTTTTCTTTTAAAATCTTATGTGACTTAAAGGCTCTGGGATTTTCCGAATGGTATACTAGCAGAGGCTTGATTTTGCAGTGCCACGCGCATTGGCGCAAAGTGCTAGAGCATCGTGACCTGGCATCGTCTTCTCCTCTGCCGTTATGTAAGTCCTATTCGGCATCCTTTTCCAGAAAAGCCCTGTCTTATCACAGTTGAAAACTTGCTGGGGGATGTATCCTTTGGCTTCTATCAGTTCGGAAAACGTTTTGATGTAAACCTCAGCTGCCTTCACATCCAAACTTGCTGCCTCACCATGCCTGACGACATAGTGAATGCCGGTCCTTTTCCTAAAGTTGTCAAACCAGCCCCGACTGGCTTTAAAGGAGTCTTCCGATTCCTCATTTGTGGAAGTGTGTGGAATCTGCTTCAGCAAATCACCGTAAATCGCTCGTGCCTTCTCACATATGATGCTTTGTGTTAAGATTCCTCCTTGAAGCTGCTTCTCTGTCACCCGCACCATCAGTAGTTTCTCCATCTTTTCATGGAGAGAGGTCCAGAGCTTAGAAATTATTGTAACGCCCTTAGCTGGCATTATACCCTTTATCAACTCCTTCTGTTTAAGCACAGTACATATCATTGATGTGCTACGCCCGTACATCCTCGCCAAGTCAATTACTCGTACACCTTGCTCATGTTTTTCTATGATTTCACGCTTTAATTCAATAGATATCATCTTCTTCTTCGGACCCATGGTTATAAAAATAAATGTGATAATGTTTTGTAAATGTACAAAAAGCAAAAAACGCAAATCCAACTTATCAAAAATGCTTCGAAAACAAGGGAAACAAGCACACAGACTGAGGTCTAGTCTGAGGTGGGAGAAACTGTTAGATGCTGCACACGACACCAACATGCGCTTTGCATGTTGGGTCGTGTGCAGTGGTGTAGTGTGCGATTCCTTGTATCTCAACTCTTGCTCTCATCTCAAAGCAAAATATTGCTCGCTCGGCAGCTCGTATTTCAAAACACTCGTATATTAGGGCACTCGTATGTTGAGGTATACTGTATACCACTGTATACTACAAATATGTCTGACGTGAAAGCCCTGCACAAATGAATTCCATAAACAGGATGACTTTTAACATGCTGGCTCAATCATTGACCAAAATCAAGTACAGACTGGATATTGTATGTGCTTTATCAGAAGCATATGTGGAAATGTACTGATTTAATGTAGTAACTTTTTCAGAAGCACTTTCTCTTACTATTATCTACAGTGCAGTATACACAATTATTTTCCCAAATTAATCCACAAAACTAGGGAGGTTTGAGAACACACTGTATAATAATTTATTATTTTCATTGATGCAATTAATTAAAAACTATTTTTAAAATTTGTTTTAGGGTGGTGGTGCTGGTGGTTCTGTGAGGTATGTGATGATTAACATTAAATTCAACCAGAATTTTTAATTGTATTTATATTTAATTATGACATTATGACTAATTATATAATGTTAATTCATTTACAGAGATGCTGGAGGTAGTTTTGGTAAAATGGAAGCAGCAAGAGAAGAAGAATATTTTAGAAAAAAGGTAAGTTTAGAAAATAATGAAATTTTAAGGTAACACAGCTGGAACTGAGTTCAGAAACCAAAATTTTTACCTTTCAGTACCTTTCCAGCTGAAATAGTCTTGTTGACAAATGTTTATTTGCTTTCTTTATGCCTTCTTGAATCTGTTGGTAATTCTCCAGTAGAATGACCTAAGAAAAGCTTAAAGGAAAGCCAAGAATATTTCTGCTATTAAAGTACTGAAAGATATGATTATTTAGGTTTAGAAAATAATGGAAAATGTTTAATTACGTTCAGTATATATACTGTATTCCTAGAAGTAATTTTAACAGTATAGTAGAACACTTGTTATCTGAGATAACATGGACTGATGGTAACTTAGATAACTGAAAACTTGGATAATATAGTGGCCACAATCATTTTGAATTAAAAATTACCAATAGAAAAGATTTATATGGTACATCTCTTTTTTAGCTCTTTTTATACCACAGTGAATTTAATAATGTATAAGAACAATTTTTATATCATTTATTATACAGCTAAAGAACAATTTTTACTTCATTTATTATACAGCTAAAGAACAATTTTTACTTCATTTATTATATACACAATAATTTTAAGAAAAAAATTTGTATTTTATTATAGTTAAGTTTTAATATGAATGAGTTGTCTCACGTTGAAGTTAAATGATGAAAAGTAACAGAAATAAATCATTTTGTAATACATGTTATTGTTTAAAATTTTCTTTTACAAATTATGGTATAAGAAAAATAGCATTTTCAATTATAGGTGTGCCTTGGATCATCTGGGTTCTACTGTAATTGTTTCCTATCAGTGGCGTGCCATGACATTTGATGATAGGGAAGCTGTCTTTCTGTAAGAAGACGACTTCCAGGGGCAATCAGTTAATTGCACATCAGTGATGGTCTAGGGTCCATTCGCATTCGTTTGTTCCATAAGCCTGTAAAAATCATAGACTTCTCTAAATGTATTTTTAATATCAGAATTACATTCTTAATCACTAGCCAGAATATAAGGGTTAAAATTAAAAATAAAATTATAAAAACCTACTTGGTGAAATAAAATGTGTGGTGGATGTACTGGTACATACAAAATATTCTTCAATTGTATGAATATACTTTTAAAAAAAATTATAATTAAATATAGCTTTGTGAAAAAATGTACATAAAAATAACTTAAAATATTCTTTACTTTTTAAATCTTAAAACAATCCACTTAGTCAAATAGCTCCCTACGAGTGGCTAATGGATGGAATCAGAGATGGTTGCAGTGCGTGCATACATGTGGACTGCCAAATCCCGAGATTGCCAATACCGGTCAATGTTAAATGCCTCTTTTGTCGCAAATCTAGTATATCTCAAAGGACGCGACAGGGCTGTTGTAGATTTTAAACGTTTCTCACCATAGCTGTAAAAATCTAAATATGTTAAACTTAATAGTAATAGTTAATGTTTTCTAACTAATTCGTTTTAGGACCAAGTGTCCTCAGAAATTTCCAAAATTTACAACTTTTCAGTCACTCTCATTGAACTGGAAAAATTTCTGTCTTTATTACATCTAATATTGCGAAGAAATCAGTCTCCACTGTACTTGGCTAGAGATTGGTTTGGTCAAGCTTTTATGTAAAATTCTCTCTCTTTCAGCAGGGTTTTATTTATGTCCTCAATTCCCTAATTGCTTAATTAATAAAAATTAAATTAATTATTTGACTACTACTTAAGTAGAAATAAGTCGAAACCAGTTACTTTGTACTCAAATATATTTGCAGTCTCGGGAAAAAAGTGGAAAGACAAATTTTTATGACAACAGATACATAAATCGTAAATTTAAGGAAAATAAATTCTAGAGTTTTTTCTGTACCTTGTGCATATCTCTCATTCATTAAATTTAGTTGTAAATGACACTGTCAAAGTAACAGTTAATTATTTAACATTATACAAGANTTCTCTAAATGTATTTTTAATATCACAATTACATTCCGAATCGCTAGCCACGATATAAGGGATACAATTAAAAATAAAATAATAAAAACTTACTTGGTGAAATAAAATGTGTGGTGGATGTACTGGTACATACAAAATATTCTTCAATTGTATGAATATACTTTTAAAAAAAATTATAATTAAATATAGCTTTGTGAAAAAATGTACATAAAAATAACTTAAAATATTCTTTACTTTTTAAATCTTAAAACAATCCACTTAGTCAAATAGCTCCCTACGAGTGGCTAATGGATGGAATCAGAGATGGTTGCAGTGCGTGCATACATGTGGACTGCCAAATCCCGAGATTGCCAATACCGGTCAATGTTAAATGCCTCTTTTGTCGCAAATCTAGTATATCTCAAAGGACGCGACAGGGCTGTTGTAGATTTTAAACGTTTCTCACCATAGCTGTAAAAATCTAAATATGTTAAACTTAATAGTAATAGTTAATGTTTTCTAACTAATTCGTTTTAGGACCAAGTGTCCTCAGAAATTTCCAAAATTTACAACTTTTCAGTCACTCTCATTGAACTGGAAAAATTTCTGTCTTTATTACATCTAATATTGCGAAGAAATCAGTCTCCACTGTACTTGGCTAGAGATTGGTTTGGTCAAGCTTTTATGTAAAATTCTCTCTCTTTCAGCAGGGTTTTATTTATGTCCTCAATTCCCTAATTGCTTAATTAATAAAAATTAAATTAATTATTTGACTACTACTTAAGTAGAAATAAGTCGAAACCAGTTACTTTGTACTCAAATATATTTGCAGTCTCGGGAAAAAAGTGGAAAGACAAATTTTTATGACAACAGATACATAAATCGTAAATTTAAGGAAAATAAATTCTAGAGTTTTTTCTGTACCTTGTGCATATCTCTCATTCATTAAATTTAGTTGTAAATGACACTGTCAAAGTAACAGTTAATTATTTAACATTATACAATAATTGTACACATTTTTTTTTCTACATCCCCTTAGAGATGGGACATATGAAATCGTAATATCACTGGTTTAACATTGAAATCCGTGAGTAATATAAAATTGGAGAGTGGAATAAAAATATCAAATATTTTAATGGATTTTCTTTAACTCCTGTCAACTATACAGAACTATCATAAAAACATGCCAGTAAATTCTTATTGGTTGGATTAAGTTATAAATCTACTCGTGATTCACATAATCGGGCGAGAGCAGCCAAATATCTAGCAGGCAGGCGGCTAACAGCCCAGAACCGGTCCTGGATAGAATTGGATGCGGTATACGTGTACCATCCACCCAAGGTCCTAGGCTTCCACCAGCTAAACCGGGTGAGGTCGGTGCTCTGTAAAGCGCATGCACGAATCTGGCTTTTTGTATGCTGACAATACAGCGCTTCCACTCTGCCACTAATATTCGAATATACAATAGCAATCTTATCTTTTTTTTCATGTGTAGTATAGAAATTTGTAATAAGATACATAATGCGGTTATAATAAAATATTGTGCAATTATTTTCATATAATTAAAATTAATGTGTATTTATTTTTTTAGAAAATACAAGGAAAACGGCACATCCACTGCTTCCAATGATGGCACGCCACTGTTTCCTATTAATATTTTCACTGACTACTTCATTAAAGTAGTACAGTAGAACCTCGAAAACTCGGCCCTCGATAACCCGGCACTCCGGATAACTCGTCCACACCCTGGCAGGGCAAAAAAATCCTTAGTTAATTAATTTTCATTATAGACAGCTTTATAAAAGTATAAAAGCTCTCATAAAGTATTTTTCTGAGGTCTGTCTTATCAGGTAAATTACTGTACACAGTGTATTCATTAATTTTCATTTTCATGTAGTAAAGGCTCTATGCCTTCATAAAGGACGTACTTTTCCTTTGTTTAAGGGTATTTGGGCAGTTTATTCTCTGTTATATTCTCAAGTAAACAATACATACAAGTACAGTACAGTATTTTCTGAGGAAACACTCATACTTATTTTTTTTAACCCCATTCCCGATAACCCGGCATTTTCACAAACTCGGCCACCCTTCGGTCCACATTAGGCCGAGTTTACGAGGTTCTACTGTATTTTGTCATATGTGGTATATTTATGATAGACATAATATTAAATTGTTCTTGAAGTCAGATGAATTATATATAATTTAGTAATAAATCTTCAAGTTATGTGTTTTTTTAAACTGTTTCTATGTTATTCAATAATTAGATTTTTAAAAAGGTACTTTTTGAGATGGGAAAATGGATGATGATTAGTAAATATAGTTTAAAACATTTATTATAGTGTAAAAATGCTAATAGTTAATAAACAGTTAACAAAAAATGTTATAAAAGTTTCATTACCTGCAGACTTTGAAAGTGATAAAGAATATTCAAAATATAAAATGCATTTTGAGTTTTAACATCACCAAACTAAATTCAGAAAACATGGAAATTCATATTTAATTAATTCATTAAAAATGTAAAAATATATGATGATGAAGATTTATACAAGAAAAATCTTTTGAAGTTTTCTAACTGTTTTTTGTTTTTTACAATGGAATTTTTTAATTTACCATTCTTTGAATAACATTTTTAATTGTAATTTTGAATTTTCAAAAAACATTTGAGACCTAAGGAAGAGATATGCTATTATTTGTTGAGAGCTTAGCTTGGCTCATAAATTGAGTTTGAGTATGAAAATACTATTGCAAAATTGACATTTTTAAGTACTATTATTCAAACTATCAAGTTTTGATTACTTGCTTTTATGATTTATCTGATCATTTTGCTATTCTCAATTTTGAGAGACTTCAAAATCTAGCAATGTTTCAAAAAATTGTATTAGTAGAAAAGACCAAAATAAGATGTTCAAATTACACTAGTTATGAAATAGAATTTTATTTTATTATTTTGTCTTAGTTCATTCACATAACATTATATTTATCAACAAAACATTTACAACAGATCACTAAATTTTTTCACAATACCATCACTTTTTTATTCTATATTGTTTCATGCTTTCAAAAAAATTTGACTTTATTCATGACAAATATGTATCATTTCAAAAAGCAATATCAATTTAGTACTTGTTCATATTTAAAAACTTGGTCTTTATGTAAAATATCCAAAATGTGAATCCAAGATTTGAGGAAAGCGTACTTAAGTGTAAGATTTCAAAGAAAAATTATTTACAATGTTTAAAATTACTTTAATTGAAATTTTTTTTCTCAATTAGAAATCTTTAATGTTATAAATGTAATTTTTGATATAATGAAAGCAGAAATATGAGAGGAGAATACATGAATTTGGCATCACTTTTTCTTATTTCTCAGATTTCAAAAGAAAAGTTGGTATAATTTATTCTTTCATTGTGAATTCTTCAGAAAGATGCTTGATTCATGTAAAAAATTATGCTTATTTATATGTGGGAAGAATAAATTTCTAACCTAGTTTCTTTCCTATTCTAGCAAAAAGAGCAACTTCAAAAGTTAAAAGAGCATTTGGATGACGAAATACATCATCACGAAAATCTTATCGATCACCTCGAAGATGAAATTAAACGCCATAAAGAACGGATTTCATCTCTAAAGAAACAACAAGATGACTCCTCAAAGCATTAGAGTATTACATTGTTTTCTACTTAGGTTAAAAGATTTAATTGTAGAAATATGACAATTTTTGTTGTGAATTTCCATTTTTTCTATTGTTTGAAACAATAGAATTTATGTAAAAAAATAAATATAATTTCATATTTGAAGAAAAAGGATGCACATAGAATGCTGAGTAGCTAAATATGGATGTAGTTATTTCAAATGTAATTTTATACTGATAGTTTGAATACAAAATACATAACAGGAAAGTATTTATTGTAAATAATTTCAGCTGCTGAAAAGTAATTTTTACTTTTCTGTAACATTTTCTCATGTAATAATTAAACTACAAATACACAAATTTATAAAGAAACATATTAATTTTCAATAATATTTTTAAAAGCTTTATCAACATCGGCTATGAATTTGGGAAAAGTCGGATCAAACAGACAAGTATATATAAGACACTGAAGATCATTTGATTCTAGGCTTGTTAATGGATTCATATATACAGATGGGAATTCGATATTTCCTTCTATTGCCTGTAAATGGAATATCAGATGAGAGATATACTAAAGAGAATAGGCAACATTAAATATGCCTTACTTCAACAATGGAATCTAGAGAAACTGTTCCAGATAAGTCTGACTTCTAATGTAGAGAAGAGAAAAATTAAGATATTAAGCATTATGTAAATTTCAAATGCATAAATTAAGCCTACCTCTGCAGGAAGAAGACATTTTACTTTATTAGGCAATGTAGATTTTATGGGGAAAAATTGACAGAATATTTTCACAAATTCTTCGCATTGTTCTTTTCCATTTTTCTCATTAAATCCATCAAACTGAACCCGAAATCTTTTTACAGAATTCTAAAAATTAAAACACTGTTAAATATATAATTATATTCCTTAATCCGTAATTTGAAACAAGAGTTGCCTCAAGTTTAGTAGCAATTAAGATACTGTCTCCTTTAGTTACGGCACGAATGGTGGACTGACTATTTGCTAAGGGTAAACTCTCCTGCAAATATATGAATTCAATGTATTATTATTAGAAAACAAAACACTTGTTTTTTCCCCACTCTTACCTCTATTACATTGCTTTTCATAATTATTAAGCATTCTGTTTGGAGATATAATAAAACCAAATCGCTATTTTCACTAATAATATGCTATAAAAAAAAATACAATAATTAGTTGTTTCGTCCAGAAAGTGTACACTTTTTACTTCAATTTGGCGCCATTTTTAAAATTTATCGTAAAATGGAAGGGACGACGTCAAATTGATGTAAGTGGACGAATCGAACGCGGCATACATTAGGCAAATTAAAAGGAATGTATACAACCATCCAATTTGTTTCATTTTCCATAGGTTCGTCTTTATTGTTTATAAATCGAGCGTAACGCTTAATCGGCCATTGAAATTTTACTTGAAGCGACATTTTTTTTCTCTCTCAGTTAAAATAGTAATTGGAAATATCAATTAGGTGGCGCTATTTTTTCTTCGAAGTTGGTTGCCGACTTTTTTTTAAATGGATTACAATGAAAATTTAAAAGCTAATATTTTAATAGAAAGCAATAAAAAAAATTGTTTTCTGAAACATTTTCTTCGGCAACGTTAAATTAGAAAACGAAAGCTTATCTATTTAAGTTACGTTAGCTGATTATAACCTTTGATTATGCACTCGATCTCCAGCAGATGGCGTTAAAAATTTAATGCTTTTCACCTTGGCTTTTCCTATAGGAAAATCCTTTTTCGAAAATTCACGAAAATGAAAGCAGAAAGAACCTAAGTTTTTTTTTTTTTGTTAGAATTCTATTCAATTGTAATGATTTTGAAAATGAAACTGGTTTTTACAAAATTTTAAGGTCGTAGATAATTTTAATTCAGTATTATTTAAATGGCTGAACGATTAATGGGTATCCTATCGCTGAGGGACCCAGGATTCGAACCCGGACGGGTTGAAAACTACAGGAACTTTTCGGGGATGGTATGTCTGGAATATATCGGGCCCCGTCGTCCCATTGTGGGCTTAGTTAAACCCGTAATTGGCTTGCTAAAAAAGGTTTCTTAGTACCTACAGAACGGAGTTTAAAAAAGCAGTGGCATTAAAATAATTGGTTTGAATTTTCTTGCTGTCTGTGCAATTAAATTACCAGTTCGGCGCTAGCACTGGAATGCCCGGAATGGAATCCAGGCAAACAATTTCCCAGAAATTTTTTATGGTGGGCTTGTTCCCCTTTCTTACCATTTGGCTGCTCCCATTGTAGAGATGGAAAAAAAGTCCCTCTTTATGCCCACAAGGGCAGAAGTTAAAAATAAAAATTAAAAAAAATTCACTATCAAATAGTTATCTTCGATAAGTTAGTATTGATATTTAGACGATTCTCTGTTTAGACAAACTATTATTAGTAAAAGTAAAGCTGATTTCGTTAATAAAAATGAATTTAATTTTCTCTGCCATCGCATACGGATTCACGTTAATTTATTTGTAGGCTCTATAATAATACTAGCGTGCTTAATATATCATTTTTCTTTATTAATAATTACAAAAATATATGTTTACATTTTTTCCTCTTTGAATATCATTTATAACCGTATAAATGAAATTACAATTAATATAGTAGCTAAATAAATGTAAATAAACAAAAATTTATACAGGGTGCTTAAATAACATTAGTACAGAAGTAACTTTTAATGCCAGGTGTGAAGTGACAGATTGCCCTCTGCACAGTTCTTCACCATGTACAAGAAGTCATCAGGTCAGGTCGAAAAAAAATCCCAGGAATTTTTCGGGAGTTGTACATCCATATATGTCGGGCTCCATCCATCATCATCTGGCAGCCCTATTATGGACTTGGTCGAAGCTATAATGCCCTACTACTACTACTGCAGCAATGACTGCGCACCTTCTTCGCGTGCTAGCATTATTGAAGCACCCTACATTTTTAATATTGATTAAACAACGGGACGAATTTTCATTTCGACTTGGAATAGAGAATAATTTGAACCCCTCCATTTATACCAATTAATGCCGTCTGCATAACTTGTATGAAAACCAAATAAATTGAGGCCGTTAAGATTAGATTCGGTGCAGGAATTATACCACCAACCTCCTTTACGCAAATTTGCGCAGTCTTCGTATGCAAAATCATTATCGTTGTCCCTTGCGGAAAACTTCATTTCGTTATGATAAGAAAGTGAGTCTCCTGGGGAAAAAGAAGCCAAATTTATAGTACAGCTCATAGCTGAAATAAATATTGTTAATTAAATTATGAAAATTTTGCTTGAATAACTAAAGTATAAACATTTATTTATTATATCAAATTACAAATAATAAATAATTTTATATATATTTAGGAAAGGAAGAAATAACATATTGAGACTTAAGAAAATATGGAATATATAGGGTGTCCATAATTAAAGCTTCCTAATTCAGAGCATTCAGTAGTTGTACACCAATAAGCAGATCGATATGTAGTCTGGAATATGATTTATCATGGGAATGCTGCAGCTTTGGCAAACTTAAAGGATAGTATTATACTACACATGTGAAGCATCACCGGGGAGTAGTTGCGGTCAGCTGTAGAATTCATTGTTCATCGGCTTCAAATTTCACACCAGAACAATGGGGAACACATTGAGCAACTTTCCTTACATCAATAAACAGCTTCTACAAGAAGCACGTCCCTTGCGAAACGGAAAACGCGTTTTCATTGTGTTTTTGTTGTCTTGTTTTGTGTATTTTCCTGTAAATCACTTCCCAGCGGAAGTTTTTAACTAAATTTTTGTTTTTTACAAAATCTTTTTTGCATCCTTTGCATAGTCTGTCAATCCGCACATCAGTTACAGCTATAGAGTGCTCTGAATAGGGAAACTTTAATTATGGTCACTCTATATATATGCTTTAGACCAGGGGTGTCCAACCTTTTTGTTTCTCTGGGCCACATTGGAAGATGTCATGGAGTTTGGGCCACAAGTATATATAATATACTTGTGGCCCAATCCTTAAATATACTTGTATATTTAAGGATTAAGATGTCTAGATTATAGTAATAAAAATTAAAACTTTATCACAAAAAAGGATATTTTAAAAACTTACTTCTACAGACACTTCCAATTTTTACTTAGAAATAGATAAATTCATTTATTATATACTTATGGCCCAATATACAAGTATATTTAAAAATTAACACATCTAGATTATAATAATAAGGATTAAATAAGAAAAAAGGATATTTTAAAAACTTACTTCTACAGACACTTTCAATTTTTATTTAGAAATAGATAAATTCATTTATTATAAAAGAGAATAAAGAAAATTTATTTGAAAAACACAAATATTTGTTTTATTTGGGTCTCTAATTAATAAAAAGCGACGAAACGCCATTTTAAAGTGCATTTTTATTCAATTAATATAATTATAAATAATATGTAGCCGAAAAAGTAGCCAAAGCGCCAAATGATATTTTTTACGT